ATGTGCTTTGTTTTTCCTTAGGAAAATGAAAAGCAATTTATACTTGTTGGAGTTAAGTTTAGTTCTCTGAAATCTGTATTCTGGAAACAACAGGTCTGTGTCATGAGGCTTTTCTGCCTGTGGCACTACAATGCTGAATGTCACTTTTAACTAGACTGCTGTAAAACAAGGCTGGAGGCGTGGGCTGCCCTTTGGAGCTTTACTGCTTTATATACTGAATGATGGTGCCATTGCACGAGTGCACAGTTGTTATTGCAACAGAAATGGAAAAGAATAGTTATGTTCATAGACAATAAACTGTCTGACTCCTCCATAAAAATGAGTAATCGGCTAAAGATACAAAGCCCATGGCACACTGCAATTACAAAAGAAAATGTTGATCCCTGCTGCAGATATGCAGTTTGAAAGCCTTAATACACACCTCTCCCCCTGTATAGAGCTATTATAGGATTCCAATATCCTATACAGCAAGGTACATTATTTATGCTTGTAATGGGACTCCATGAGTCTGAAGACTAAATATAGAGGCTTAACAACAGTGGTGACATAGAGATTTAAAAAACAAGGTCTTATTACTGTGTATACCCCGTTGTCCTTATCAGTATATTAACAATATTCTGCCATGCTGCAGAAGAAAGAGAAAGAGCGAGAGAAATAAATATGGCTGACTGAGTTTCCCATTAAAAAGTAGTGCAGCAAAAATAAAAAAACACCTTAACAATCAAAGTATTACTTCTGAATCTTTTCATTTCTTTGTCACCCTTTATTAGTTTCTGATTATGCAACCTGTTAAAATGCGTACCATTTAAAATTGATTAAAAGATTAATACTGTCATAGATTTTAAAAATGTATTTATCAGCAGTAATTGCTTTAACATAAATTGAAAGAAATGTGTCTTTCATGCATTGTTTTCTCACTAAAATTTATCCCTCATATGTTTTTGGATGAGGTCATTTAAATTCTGCTTTATGAAAGTCAATCTTGCATCAATACATCATTTAGCATTCAACTAATTAATCTTCTCAATAAAAATGTAAGGTACTGTACGGTACTACCCCCATTTCACAGAGAAGAAAACTGAGGCAGAGGGAAGAAGTGACATGACCAGTCTCTGCAGTATTTTAACATCAGATCCAGGATTAGAACTAAGGCATGAATTACATGCCGGTTATTTGCTCTGTCCCTCAAACCATATTGCCTCTCGGCTTTGATTGCAGGCAGCAGTGTTCATGCAAAGAAAAACTGATCATCTTGTTAATCTTTAAAGGTCCTGAACTCTCTACGATCATTAGGAGCAAGCAGATATCTGTGGTGGTTTACTGTTATTTCAGGATCATTCTATATTCTGTTCCCAAAATACATAGCAAAATTCCTAATATTCCTATTAGCAGTGCTTTTTATTGATAGTACTGCCTGGTACGCAGTACTGGCACCTCCAGACACAGTACCAGCACTTCCAGTCAGAGCTCAGCAACTTGTCCCCTGGAGTACTGGCACCTTTTTTTAAAAAAACAAAAAAAGCACTGCCTATTAGGATTACTGTGTCCTTGATGTCAACAAACACAAGACACATTAATTGGCATTTAAAAAAATAATGAAAACTTTGCTCTAGGAATTATTTTAGGGGAGTTCTCTGGCCTAGGCTATACAAGATTTTAGAGTAAAGGATCACCATAGTCTATTATAGCCTTGGAATCTATGGAATTTTTGAATTTCTAATCACTGTTACACCAGCAATTAATGCAGACATGCATGCTTGGGACTACAGCCATGACATGACTGTGTTTACTTCCTGCCCACTTTGTTGCTGCTAGTGCCAAATCTCAACTTCTTCCTGCCCCTTCATTTTAGCTCTGCATGAGGACTGAGTTATCAAATACTTCTACGGTTCTGACATGAGGAATTCATGCTGCAGGGTTTACGA